ATAATAATAATTATTTTTTTTTTCTATTGATCTTTTGAACTTTGACAACAATAAGATTTAACTTATTTTATGCTACATGAGTTGAAGTATAATGTTTATAAAAAACACAGGTCTTCATTTAAAATATCAGCAATTTATTATTTATTAAATAAATATAAAGGTAACAAAGAATCTTATAACGTAATATAACACTTAATATGAACATAATAATAATAAAAAAAAAAATTATTACAAAATTCAAATCACATAAAAACTTATGATATATTATTATATATACTAGATTCCGGTGTTTGTCATCCCGCCTACGGCGGAAAGACTGTGTGGGCGGTGGTGCATCTTTGTCGGCTATGCTGGGTTTTTTGATCCAGCCTGCGGGGGGAAGGGGGGTCGTCGGGTATTATGTTTTGTCGTGTTGGCAGCACTGGTTAAGCGGTAATTTTTGAACTCGGAAGAGTGTCTAGTCGTAAGTCACGCGATTCAAGTCGATCGTAAGACACAGCCAGCCAGGTAGGCAATCCGACTACGTCGGATCGCAGACCATGCACCGGGCGTGTATGTCCGGTTCTCGTATGTGTGTTGAAATCGGAAATTCGGGTTCTCTGAGTTTGAGTGTCTAGCTATCAGTCATCTCGATTCCCGAGTGTCGGTTGCAGTGGGGGTGTAAGTCGCTCGTATGCAAGTAGCTAGTCAGGTAGGCAATCCGACTACGTCGGATCGCAGACCATGCATCGGGTGTGTATGTCCGGTTCTCGTATGTGTGTTGAAATCGGAAATTCAGGTTCTGAGTTTGAGTGTCTAGCTATCAGTCATCTCGGGTGAAAGTCGATTCCCGAGTGTCAGATGCAGTGGGGGTGTAAGTCGCTCGTATGCAAGTAGCTAGTCAGGTAGGCAATCCGACTACGTCGGATGGCAGACCATGCACCGGGCGTGTATGTCCGGTTCTGGTGTGTGTGTGTTGAAATCGGAAATTCGGATTCTGAGTTTGAGTGTCTAGTTATCAGTCATCTCGGGTGAAATCCGATTCCCGAACGGACAATCCGCCTACAGCGAAAAGTGCTCGAAACGGCCGTTCAAATATGAAAAAGTATACAGGAGGTAATAAAATTGTATTTGTTGATAATTATAGAGAACAGTTATCAGGTGTTTTATGTTGGGCTTCACTGTAATCAATGTAATCATTGTTATGTTTTCGCGGTTATAACAAATAAGTCGACAAAATCTAATTTTCTGATTGGATATTTTCTAAAATATACCTACCTTGTATATTTATTTAATTATGAGAATTAAGTCAAATTAACAAATAGATAATTATATTGGTGAATAACAAATTTTATTGAAATGTAATACTATCCTATTAAACGTAGGTATCTATAAATGAATACACTATACATACTCTCGTTTCCGACACACTACTCCACCCCGGGACTCGAATTTTCGAAAAAAACGGCAAATGAAGCAGTCATATTACAGTCGTACTATTTTTTTAATATAGTATTTATAATCTGTAGCAGTATTTAACCAAATCGGAATCACGTAAAAACTGTAATATATCAAGTAGGTACTACACGTAGGTTAGTTATATTATAATGTATTATTAAAAGAAACATGTATTTGCGTCGGTAAATGTTAATTATAATTATTTTTTTGCCCAATAAATATCGTCAAACGAATAATAATAATATATATAATATAATAATGCAAATTTAAAAAAAAAAATAACACTCGTTAAAAATGATAAATGTGACGAAAAAAAAAACGCAAAAAAAAGAAATTCGATTTAACACGGCCCCGCCGGCGTTCGAAACCACGACCGTCGAATCACCCGTTTTAACGCCTAACCTACCTAGCCACGTACCGAGATGAAATTAGGAGTCAAATCTATGACTCTTAAGGGCGTTTGAGCGGACCACAGTGTCCGCCACCTTCGGACGTTCAAAACGCGAGATTTGCGAAAAAAATCGAACCTCGAGGCGCATGTACATATATACATGCGTATATATGCCTGTATATAGCGATACCTACACGGTACCTACTCTCGTTTCCGACACACTACTCCACCCCGGGACTCGTCTGTGGCTATAAATATAGCAGGGAACGCGAATAAGTAGTCGACGGGGAGGGTGATATGACCGAAAGAGGCTAAAACTATAATTTTCAAAAAAAACGGCAAAAAGAGCAGTCATATAGTCGTACTATTTAACTGCCAGAGTTTAATCAGTTCTATTAGATCTATTAGTTTATTAATACCGTATTAAACAGTATTTAACCTAAAAACTGTAATATATCAAGTAGGTACTACATGTAGGTTAGTTATATTATATTGTATTTATATAAGAAACATATAGGTGCGTTGGTCACGGTAAAATCAAGTATTATTATTATTATTTATAAAATAGTACAGTATCATTATACAATTTAGTTACAATTTAAAATATCTACTTTAATATATATTAATATTTTTTTGCCAAAAAAAAAAAAATGTGACGAAAAAAAAACTCGAAAAAAAAAAAAATTCAAAATACCACGGATGGCGCAAATTATCGTAAATCCCAGAGGCCGGGTTCGAACCCACGACCCTCGAGTCACTTATCCTAACGCCTAACCAACCTAGCCACCTACTCAGATGAAATTTCGAGGCAAATGTATGACTGTTAAGCCGCGTCGCCGTGCTCGTGGCGATAAAATAAAATTCTTATCACTTTCCTTATCAATAAAAACAATATTTAAGAAAATCCCAATAAATCCTATCAAAAACTCAAAACCCCGAGTTTCCCCTTGGCGAGGTGGGTGTTTGAACTCTCCCGGACCAAAATCCATCAAAAAAGCAAAATCCAAAAAGGGGGGGAGGAGGTGCCCCCGTTCCCTAAAGCGGAAAACGGTAGTATTCATAAAAAGAATGGGTTCCCCCTTGGTCCGAGGTCTTTAACTTGAATTCCGGCCGAGTTATACTCAACTCAAAATGTGGGGGGGGTGGGGGCTTTGGTTCCCTAATGTTGAAAATTCATCTGGGGCCTAAAAAATTGAGATGCCCATTGGTACGGGGTCTCTAAGTCGAATACCGGCTAAGTTATACTTGGTCAAAAATAATTACTCGTTTAATGGGTCCCCCCACTCCGCCCGACGGTCGCGGGGTAATTGGTTTATAAGACGTTATTATCACGTCAAAAAATTGAAAAACACGGGTTTTTTTTTAATAATAATAATAATAATGTTCGAAAATATTCGTCGATAAGGAAATGGGAGATAAGCGAGCGGAATTTATAGCGAACGCGCGGGAAGTATTGTGATTGGTCGTCATGGAAGAAACGCGGAGTGCCGTGAGCGCTCCCCGCGGATCTTATACGCGTTATTAGCGTTTTATTATATAAGATTTTGTTTATATACCTACTCATTATTAACAGTTTCATGCAATGAATGACTTAGTACAGCCATAATTGCTTTACCTAAACCTATACCTACCACTAAACATTTATACTTAATATCAGCAATATTTATTTTAAATGATTACAGATTAAGTATTTAAATTTATTATTGCTGGATGATGCATATTTTGAAGTTTGATGTACCCATAGGCGCAATTTCAACTTTTGACTTGGGGGGACTGAATATATTAAAGGCAAGCAGACCATTGCAATGTAGCATATTAAAATTGTATGTCCTAGGTTTTTTTTTGGGGGGGGCTACGGCTAAGTTTGGGGGGGCTTAGAATGATGGCAATGAAAAATCAAATCTAACGACGTAAACATGCTGTCGAAAAACAAACGAAAAGCCATTAAAAAGTGGTTTTAGAGTAAATATACTCTATACCTATAATCAGTGGTGTAGTGGAGGGTATACGCGGGTATACGGCGTATACCCAAAACGCTAAAATTCTTATTTGCGTATAGGAAAGAAAATAAAACAAATACGCGGGTATACGGTCGTAGTCTTTTGGATGATAACCATATTACCACAATTTATATAAAAATTTCTGATTTTTTTTTTATTATTATCATTAGGTACCCCAAATAATATTGGGGTATCAGAAATCAGAATAGTTAATATTAATCCGTGATTATGATTAATTATAAAATGATAAGAAATAGGAAAAATTAAAATTGTCCAAACGTCATAACTTCACAAATTACTCGTGGTTTATTTATTTATCATTAGAAGTTATTAATAAACTATAAACATTGAATACTAAGTAAACATAATAAATTAGGCAGGGACTAGGTACCAGATATTGATAATACAAGCTTGTAATTTATTATATTTAAATATTTAATTTAATAAAACAAATATTTAAAATTAAATTAAATTAATATTACGACGACGGCAATATGGCATCAAACAGTAAAAAAAGAAGTATAAACGATTTCTTTTCAAAAGTAGCCAAAGCAAAACCAAATAGTATCAAGGTAAGTTATTTTATTATATTCTTGTAGTTGGACGTTTGCAGGTATAGAATATGATTATTTACATTATATATGATTATTTACAGTTCCTTAGAAGTGACAACGAACAAATTATTAAGGATCTGACAAGTAAGCAGACTGAAATAATTCAAACTGACGATGATAATACAAATTATACTGAAGCTGAATCTACCAATAATTGTGTAACACAGGTACAAAAATCACTTTATATTTTGTATTATCTTATATATTTGGGAAATTGATTTACTATATTTATAACGGAATGTATATAAAAAAAGTTTATAATATGATAATCAATAAATTAGCAGCGTAAGCTACAGCTACCTAAACATTTGTTTCATTATACAAATAAATTAGATTTAAATTGTATTTTATAGCACTTATTGTTAGATATTTTTAAACTAAATAATGGTTTTATAAACTGTTAAAATTAATATTTAATTTTTATGTTGTATTATAATTTCAAAAATAAAATATATTTAGAACACTACATTAATACCTAAGTTTTATAACAAAAGTGACAAATTGTTAATAGTTAACAGTATATTAAATTTACTCCTATAGATAGAAGATCAATGGCCAATGGTATGGACTTTTGATCAGTGGATCGAAAAAAAATCAAGGTATCCATGGTTATTTTGTTCAAAACAAAAAATTGGCTGTGAATATTGCAAAGAAATTGGTACGTTAAAGACAGTTAAGAAGAGAGGTGTTGAAATTAGTAAAGAATGGAGTATGTGTACAGTTGATGAAGGCAATCATCTAAAAAAACAAACTAGGTTGGCTAACTTAAGAAATAAAGTAAAAAAACATTCAGACTCATTCGCTCATCAACATGCTTATGAAATAAAAAAAGAAAAAGAATCTGAAAAAATTGTAAAAAATTTTGAGGCAAAGTTACATAAAAACCATGTTAATACTGAATATATTTTCCGAACTGCATATTACATCGCTAAATATAATAGGCCATTTGACGATCATTTTAAATTAATTGAACTTCAAAAAGCTAATGGAATTTCTTTAGGATCAATTTTACATTCTAGATACTCTGCTACTACAATTATAGATCATATTGCTACTAAAATGAGAGAGCAGTTAGTTAAGAATATTATCGATTGTAGCGCCAAATTGTCAGTACTTATTGACGAATCCACAACTTTGAGTTCAAAGACAAGCATGGTTGTTTATATTAAATCTGCAATATCTAATGATGATCCTATTTTTATGTTTTTGGATCTCGTTGAGCTTGATAATCAATTAGCTGTTAATATTGTTGATAAACTACTAGCTTGCCTTCATAAATGTGGCTTTGATGAAACATTTCTTCAAAAAAACTGGGTGTCATTTGTCAGTGATGGGGCCAGTGTTCTCCTAGGTAAAAAAAATGGAGTAGCCAAACGCCTTAAAGATAAATATCCATTGATATTTAGTTGGCATTGTATGAACCACAGACTAGAGTTAGCTGTCAATGATTCAGTAAAAGATGTAACTGCCACAAATCATTTTAAAGCATTTTTGGATAGTCTTTATGCTTTATACAACAGATCACCAAAAAATCAAAACGAACTTAAAACGATATGTACTGAACTAGATATGATATTTTTAAAAGTTGGCAGGGTGCTGGATGTAAGATGGGTGGCTAGCAGCTATAGAGCAGTTCAAGCAATTTGGAAAATATTTCCAGCTTTATATAACCACTTATATAATGCTTCAAATGACACAACTAAAGATAAAAAAACTCAGTCCAAGTATACTGGTTTATATAAAAAATTAGGAAGTCCACAATTTGTTTTAGATTTGGCACTTATGTGTGATATTCTCAAGGAATTGTCTTATTTATCTAATCAATTGCAGAGTCATACAGTTACATTATTACAAGCAGATCAATTAATTAAATCAAATAATTATGCTTTTCAAAACAATCAGTTTGACCAATAACCAAAAATTAATTTGTATCAACCCAAGTCAATTCATAACAAGTGTATGTAATAATCTACATTCCCGTTTACTCGACAATAATGAAAATGATACTTTAATATTAAACAATATTCAAATTTTAAACAAAAATACATGGCCAATAGATGTTGATATAAGACATGGGGAAAATGAAATACAACAATTGGGCCGTAGATTTTTATTAAATACATCTGTACTAGTTCAAGGAATGAGAAACTTTATTCATAACAATACAATGAATGAAGAAATACAGGAATTAAATATACTTATAAAAACATTGCCAGTTTCTACTGCAGAATGCGAACGGGGATTCAGTTTAATGAATATAATATGCTCTGATCTAAGATCTAAATTGACAATAAAAAATATAGCAAATCTTATGTTTATAAATATAAATGGGCCACCTCTTAGTATATGGAACCCAACCAAATATGTTGGAAGCTGGCTGTTGCAGCACAGATCAGCCGATGATAACCGTTCAAGGAAAGTGGAGCCATTAGAAGAACAAACAGACAAAAAATCACTGTGGAAAATTTTATAAATTATAAATAATAAATAAATAAATTTGCTATCATGGAATCATATATTATTATATATTTAAATAAATTTAGAATAATAGATAAATCTAAGTCAATTGATATGCGGGGGGTGTGGGGGGCGGAGCCCCCCACGTAATCAATATTTCTCAATTTAGGTGTATACCCAAAACAATATTTACGACTACACCACTGCCTATAATACATTTTATAGAGAATAATATTTCGGAGGGAACCTCATTGGGGTTATGTATTAATCTAAATACACAGCTCGATATTAAAGGGACAAAAACCTTTTTTTTTACATTTTTTAAATAACTGTAAGTTTTTTACTAATTGATATTGAAAAACACCGATGAGGTTCCCTCCTAAATATTGTTCTCTATAAATTTCATTACAAGCATTTTTACTATAAAACCATTTTATTGATGCCATTTCGTTTGTTTTTCGTTGACGTGTTTTTACCTCTGAAAATGACCAGTGTAACGTCCTCTCAAGTTATAATGTTTAGAAGGAATTCTGTTTTCCATTTCTGTTAGTACCATATAGTTGCATTCTTTTAGTGGGTTAGATATAAAAACCTTTTGTTTTTAAATTATTCTGTTATAAATTTCTTGAAGTGGATATTTTGCACATTAAATTGATTTTTTTATATATTGTAAAAAATTTTCAAATTTAAACAGCTGAAATTATCAAGATGGGCCATGAATTCTCACAAACATTGGTAAGTGTAGCAAACTATGCACATTATAAGAAATAAATTGTTCGCTGTAAAGTTATAAATTGTTTAAACAATGTTAAAGCAATAGCGTTATGAGTTTGCCATATATTATAACTTATTACAATTTTAACTCCACAAGATAAGAACAAAAAATGGGAAAAAAAGTTTTTTTTTAATTTTCCTATTAAAACTATTCGACCATAACACAATAAAAACGATCTAAGTTCAGTAGCTTTCTAATAATCTATATTTTCTAATGCTCTTGGTAGACGGCTAAATTCGGATGGAACATAAGGTCTAAGCTTTAATAAGTCAACAGTAATTTGTTTTCTATATTCTTCCTCGGTTAGTCGAACATCTTTTTTACCCTTTACTCAAAACTCAACAAGTCTCTTAGTGATTCCAAGGCATATATTATGCATGTAATCTAAACATACGTTGTTCACAATATTAATGGGTAATAATTCCAACGGACTATCGCCTTTATGATATTCTTCATTTACCTTATTAAGGAAACTTTCATTAGATCTTAATGGAGCATCTATATCAGGATAATATGTCATTCTGTTTTGTAAATACCTGCCCTCTTGTGTACATGACGAACAACCAAAATAACCATTATGCCCTTTTACATTTAATAAAAATGCCTTAGCTTGAGAATCACAAACAATATGACCTATCTCAAATTTAAATATTTTATCATTTACACAAAGCCCACTATCTAACAATATTGAAATATCCAATAAAAAAGGATGGAAGTATTCAGTAACTGACGATGGTTTTGTTAATCCTTGAAATATCCCTATTGGAATTACAAAATTAGATAATTCACTACAATTAATTATTGATAACAATATTGGCCATAGCTGATTTTTAGAACTTTTTGAAATTGGCAGGCCATCTATATTTATTCCTAATTTTAAAACATTATTAAAGTCTATTTTATTAAAATCCTTTTTTAAAATTGGAGTTAATATTTGTTTTAATCCAAAGTGAATGTATGAACCATTATCCATATTAACAATTTCATGAGACTGAGGTGTTTTTATCAAGGTACGCTCATCACTTGGAACTTGTAAACCTTCAGATTTCATAATTTTTAATATAGAATTAGCACAATTATGGGATACCTTATGATGTAGGTAATATCCAAGATCGAATTTTATCATTTAGGACAATACTAGAAGGCTGTTCATTTTGTCCAATAGGCTTATCGGATGAAATATTTAAAACATTAAATTTATTATTTTGAGTAGTAAATGTATCTTTCAAAGGATATTCAACTAAATAGTCATTAAGTGTCCAGCTGTTATAGTCCGAAATCTTTCTTCTTTCTGTTTATTTTCTAAAATTATGGAATAAAGTAAAAATATTATATTTAAATAAACGCTAAGATGAATATTTTACATCTAATAAATGTATCTCTATGTAGTGGGTATTGACATTTACGCAATTGTACTAACTATTCAATACATACATATTGTAAAGGAAATGTTAGTAATTTAAAAATATAAACCTGTTTTGCATTCAGTTTCAACAGCTATTTACAAAAATGGTTTTCTTTATAAATATGAAGTACTATTTTCAAAAACACGTTTTTGGTACTCAATCGACTTAAATTAACGTTAAATTAATTCTTGTCTTTCAATAAATATACACATTTATAGAAAAAAAAAAATAAGGAATTAACACATTCACTGCGTCAAATAATTAGTTGCGACATGTTCGATGAGTCACGAAATATATCGTTGTTCCGCTAGGAGCAGCCACCAATTAGGACATTTTAATTAGTATCGGATATCGCCGACAGGCGCACTTGGTGAAGTAATTATTCATAAATATTTCTGGGGAAGGGCGTAGTTTTTATTTTCAAAGAGTTATTACATATTCAGGGGTAGTTCCAGGGCGTGGGGGTGGCTAGGGTCATCCTTCCCCCTCATAAGTCACATTTCTAAAAATTGAACTTGTTAAAAAAATATTACAAACATATTACAACTATCGACTATTATTGAAAACTATTACATCCCCCCCTCCCAATCAAGTCTCTGGAACCACCAATGTACTTGTTAGAAATTAGCAGCAAAAACAACATTTATAACTTTCAATATATTTATTGTATTTTCCTTTAAATAAAATATTACAAAATTTAAAATAAAATAAAAAGTAAGTACCTTTGTTCTTAACATAAAAAATAACATAGGTAACAATTTCTTAATTTGTAAAGCATTTAAAACAATAATTTTATTTATTGGTGGTAGTTTTTGAAGCATGGGTAGACACAGAGTCCTAGTTCACCTGGGCATGTTGAGCAGTAGATGTCAGTTTCCGAACGTTTTTGGTTTTAATACACTCTTAGCATCGACGAACTTTTTTCTTTTTATTTTCATTTCTTTCGACCATTTTTGGATAGTGATTTCCTGTTTTGGGTTGAGGAGTAAAACGTGGTGCTAAAGTAGTTTCCTGTCCGTTTATCAATTTCCGCTAGTTCTGTAAAAGTTATTTCCGGGAAATCCCCTAACAGTCCCGTAACTGACCAGATCGGTGGCTGGTGCATTGGGAATAGGTCATTCACTATGTGTTCTAGCCGTCCAGGTATTGTTATCCCTGTTATGGGTCTCCGTCCAACTAGTCTCTTTGTAACCAGTTTATACGGAGCGCCCCAGCGGTCGGTTTCTACCTGGTTGCATAGTTCTTGCCAGCTGTTCTCTTTACTCTTCTTGATTTCAATCTTGAGATTTCTCTTCAAGACCCTGTACTCTTCGACACTTGAGGCGCAGTCCTCGGTTCGTGCCCTTGATTTTCTCAGCTTCCTTCTTAGGTCCATGACTATCAAAGTGGTTTTGTGAAAGTCCACGTCTAATCATATTTTAACAATCAGACATATGATGGAAAAATTTTATGAATTCGGAAAGGATGTCCACATGTGCTTTGTTGACTTCAAGAAGGCTTACGATAGCATAGTTCGGAATAAACTGTGGGCGGCCCTAGAAGAATTTGGAATACCCAAAAAACTTATCGATCTCATAAAAGCATGCAACACGAATACAATGTGCAAAGTGAAGTTTGGCAACAGTTTTGAGGTTAGCACAGGACTCAAACAGGGTGATGCCTTGTCGCCAGTCCTCTATAACCTAGCGCTTGAGAAAGTGATCAGGTCAATGCCAATACAACAAGGAATGGAGTTGTTATCAAATAGTACACTCCTTGCCTATGCAGATGATATAGTTATAATAGGCAGTACGCGACAAGATGTAGCGATAAGAACTAATGATTTGTTAAAAGCAGTGAAGCCAATGGGTCTAGAAGTAAATCTGGATAAAACCAAATATTTAGTCATGACTAGGGGAGCAAGGGGTATCTCGGACCTGGTAGTAGAAAACTATACCTTCCAACAAGTGGGGTAAACATAAATCAATACAATAACATGCATAATGAAATTAAAATTAGGATATCAGCCGCTAATAAGGGTTACTACGTTTTGGAAAAATTGTTCAAGTCAAAACTTCTCTCTAGATGATCAAAGGAACGCCTGTACTTAAGTTTACTATGGCCAGTTCTAACATTTGCATGTGAAAATAGATGAGGAAAAAATGGCTTGCTTTAAAAGAAGAGTTCTTAGAAGGATTTATGGGCCTATACTAGAAAATGAAGTGTACAGAAGAAGAACTAATATGGAAGTACAACAAATTTATCAAAAACCTGGTATCAACGCGTACCTTATGAGTAAACTAATTGAGTGGGCAGGCCATGTATGGAGGTCAAATGGTATTCTAAAGAAAGCTCTGGTAGGAAAAATCAATGGAAAAAGACCTAGGGATCAGACAGCGCTAAATATACAGATTACAGGGTTAAAGAAGATATAAACAAGTATGCCCAGGGTCCAGGGATTAACTTTAGAAGACAGTATTAACAGAGATAGTTGGAAAAAAGTAGTAGAGGCAGCGAAAGTCCTTCAAGGACAGTAAAAGATGAAGAAGAAGAAGAGATTAGGTAAAGGCAAAGGTGAACTTTGAAAAAATATTATATTTATATAAAATTAATTTGATACTATACTAATTAAACAATATAAAAAATCAAAAATCGATTTCCTACATAACCTAGAAAATAGAATAAGGAATTTAAATATGTTTTCAAAATAAAAACCGAACCATTTTTAGTGGCGTGTACTGAGCGTATGTACGTTACTGATTTCCAAGTAGCTTAGCCGCAGTTTATCTTTAATTAGATAAAGCGGTCGGGGAACTCACGAACACTAATGATAAGTCACTACACACTAAAGCTCTGCATGGACCGGGCCCGGGTATGCATTCAGTTTGCATTAAAAGTTTATCGTTATTCGTTTCTTAAGATTACAAATAAATTTTCTAAAATTGTTTACTCATTTTATTTTGAAACTCTTTTTCACTAACTTTGTGCTGCAACTTTTCCACTGGATTTTGGAATCCTTTCACCTGCATTTTCTCTTATGAGATCCAAAGGTAAATTTTAAAATAGTTTATAAGGTATTTTTACTAGAATTTATTTTAATTTTTTTTCTTACTTAGTTTTGATGAAACATATTTTTCAACACGGATTTGTTTTGAAAAACAAAATGAACAGGTAATTGGGACACACAAATGTATTCAAACTGTTAAAGCTCTATGTATATTATTAATTTAAAGTACTGCAAATACTAAACTAATAAACTATAAATTTTTGGAAAAAAAAAGATTTGGTAAGTAACTGTAAACAGCCTATATTCTATCATTACGGTACAAAAATTACTATGGAATTACTATATAAAATAATAGAATGAAAATGGTTAGTGACATGGGTAATACCAGGGTTGAAATATACAAGGTTATTGCATTATTGCAATACCCCTTCTCAATCAAATATTTGATGATAAAAATCATTAATGAATTGCAATTATCTATAGCTGATTCCAATAAATCCAATGATGCATTAACTGTTGAAACTATTCATATTTCTGAAGCTGACCTGAATTTTGATCTTCTTAATCAATTTGAGGTGCTTATTAATTAAAATGTATTAAAACTATATACAAAAAATATCAATGATTCATTTCTTAACTGTTTCAGCTGGATACTGGAGAACCACCATTCGAAGAAGAATCGTATGCTGAATATTTTTCGGGCTATGTAGAAAATCACTTCTATAAAAAAATACCCTTCTTTAACTGCTCCACATAACTCACAACCACTAGATAACTGGACAAATAATTTATCCAAAGGAAATTTAAAAATTCCATCTGAAAATTGATGCGGACCTGTGGGGTGCCGCGTGGATGGTGGGTGGAGGTAACCAACAACAAAAAAAGTAAAAGGAAAGAAAGAAACACGGAAACTGAAGTTTCGTTTTTTTATTTGATTATATATTATCTTTCAATTATTAACTGAGAAACGGTATCGGTGTCAACATAAAACTCGCGGGGACGTGTAAGTGTCCGGGTCGTTGAAAAAAACAAGTGACTTCGACAAGCCGGTTCACCGAACGGCCGGCCGACGATTCACGGCGCCGGCGTCGTCGATTGGCGGTTTGTTTGAGAAGCCACAGCGCGGCTTCCGAGTATAGGCTGTTTGAATTCAAACTGCCATTACGCGGGACCGCGTCAAAATCTTTTTAAAGCAGTCTTACAATTGTAAAGAGATTTCAAAAATTTTCTCGGGGACACTTTATCTAAAAAACCATAAGTTTTTAAAAATGTATACAAAATAGTTGCACCCAAAATTCAGCATTTAAACATACCTGATAAAGTTATTTTATGTCTGATACGAACACGAACATAATATATTCGTCTAAATAATTTGAATGATGAACAATCAAGTACACATTTAAAAAACTAAAATTTACTAATTGACAAAACGTACTTATCAAAAATAATCTAACAATTCAAATAAATTGTAATTACGTTTAGTTCATTATTCTTTAGTATTTAATTTAAAACCATAACAAAATATTTATCTTGTCTATTTTTTTATGCTGCACTATTTCAAAAGCCACTGAACCTCGCACTGAACTGTATACAGTATACTATACTCTATCCCACAAGAGAATATCAGTCCGCCGGCCTATTCTCGTCAGTGCCTACACCAACTACCCGGTGTTAGCGTGATCACGTGGTTCTCGAAGCACAATTCGAATCATTCGTGATACATGAAAAGTTATTATTCTCTCGTAAGACAGAGTATAGTGTGGTACTATATCCTCCTGAGGCCCAATGTCCATTATAATGGACAATTATTATTACTGCTTTAGCGCCCAAGCTTAATTTTATTTTTGTATTTTTATATGCCCGTTGTCCTCTACATTGGACATTTTCTCTTATCAAAGCAAAAGCCCGCCAATTTTTTTTTGCTTATCTTATATTCTGTCAATATAACCTTAAACTAGTGATAAATTGGGAGGATAAACATGTGTTTGATAATTTTTATCTGTTACCATTTTGTCTACAACACATATTTTAAAATGTCCATTGAATTGGCCTTGGGTTGATGTTATTTCAAAATAACAATTTATTAATATTATTAAATATATTTATTTTTTAATAATAACTAGTAACTACCTTTTGACATTTAAAAATGTTTAACTAAACACAATAAATTATTTCGAATGAAAGTTTTTAAAACAATTGTTTTTTACGTTAATACAAAAATATAAATTACATTTAGTACACCTACATTTTGTTTTTTGTTTGCACCCTTCTTTGCGACACCTTTGAGAATTTTTAAGTTCCATCATTTCCGGCAAATGTTTAGCTCCTACAAATTAAAATACAAATAATTTTAAATTAACTATAGGCAGTTTAATAATTATTTTTTTATATAAGCCTGCATTTCTAATTTTCACTGGTGGCAATGAGACATGTTTGCCTGAATTTGACCGACGATCAACATATTCGTCGTCTGAATCTTCACTATCGTCTTCTTGTGTAGTTACTGTTTATTAACTCATGGGCTAGCGTAATTCTAAAATCGAGGAGCTGCAAAATTTTATTTCTCGAGTATTTTTTCTTTTTAAATCTTGTTTATAAAGTATCCAACTGTTTACAACTCCTAAGTCAATAAAATGCATTATTGTTCTTAATGTCCATTTGTTTGTTCTATACTTCATGCGGTAGTATGCGATCATACGATCACATAAATCTACTCCACCCATATTTTCATTATATTGTTTTCCAATAATAGGCCGAGGTACATACATTTTCACTCTTTTCATTTTATTCCAACTTTTACATACATTAATTGGATTTTTTCCACATTCAGTTGAAAGCAAATGTATAAGTTTTTTGTCAAACCATTTAATAAGACATACCTTTTTATCTTCTCTAACATATTGTATCGTTGTCCCTCTAGGTTTTTTCATAATTATTTTATCTGATACTAAATTCACCGATTTGGTATATTATTTTTCATAACAGTGCCAGTACTCAAAATTTTCTTTGTTTTCAAAATGTCTAAAAGTTTTTCGTAGTAAAAAATCTATCAAAATACAGAATCCATGTTTATTGGCTAAAATAAAGTTTTTTAATCCAGTTGGATTAGGTTTTCCTCTCACATATTGTTTCATTTTAGTATTTCCTGTAAATGGTATTATTTGTTCATCGATACTTCAATGTACATCTCGTACCAACCGGTAGCAGCCAGCTCTTACTGCTTCTAATAACGGACGAACTTTCCATAAAAAATCTTTTTTCTCTTCATTGGTTATTGCATTGTCATTTACAACTTTTAAAAAACTACGAATTTTAAAAAAAACAATTTATAGACATAGTGTTACTAATAAGAGGTACCCTAGTGGTTTTTGCCCAAAAAATACGCATTCTTGGATATCACAAGCTTGACATAAATATTTTACATCAGATAAAACGTTTCATTTCAATTGATGTCACTAGTATAGATTTTCCTGTTTCTACAACACTTTTAACATTAGTGCAATTTACCATATTTTCAATAGTTTTTTCGTTAATATATTGATTAAAATAATTTATAGGGGTCCAGTAATGTCTTTCTGAGTCATTATATTCATCAGGTGAAGAACGAATTAATTTTTTTTTGGGTTTAAAATGATTTGTTCTTAGCAATTTCATAGTATTTATATATTTAATTTGTTGAACGTTTGGATTTAAATTATTATTAGAATTAATAACTGTACAAGTGTCAGTCTGACTTGCATCTACTGATGTATTACCGTAACCAAAATTCAATTTAGAGTTTTCTAATTGTTCAAAATATTCATAGTTTTCTAATAATAATTGATCGATGTCCTCGTTATCTCTTATATTATTTACCATATCAAAATCTTCTTCTTCCTCCCTCCCTTCGAATTCTGTAGTATTGCCATTGTCAATTTGTTCAAGAAGTACGTTTATATTGTCACTCGTTAATACTTTACCACGATTCATTATGAATTATAACGGTAAATAAATTATTTGATAAGCACATACACGCACTAGGTACATTTACTAATACGATCGACACGGCGACACGGCACCAACTGAATTCGATATCAGTAATTCAGGAATAAACATTAAATACAAATAATAAACAATATTGGGAAATTTAATAAAACCCAAAATAAATACAGTCATATAAAATAATAATATAAATATAAAATGTTGATATACCGACCTATAACTTCGATTATATATTTTTATGTCACTGTTTATGAACTCTTTTTATTAATAAAAGCCCAGTGTCCATTTCAATGGACAATTTTCAACTGTGAATTAAAATAGATTAAAAAAATTATTTAGATCCCAAATGTTAAAAATAAGATTACAATATACACATATACAAATTAGTAATGTAATGTATATTCGAATAATCGAATTATTCGAATATTCGAATAGTTCTATCGTAAATAATTCGAATATTTGAATATTCGAACATTCGAATATCAGTATTCGATGCTACAATACCTAATTTGGTTTATCCGGTTTTCCATGACAAGCTTTTTATACTATTTATTATTAATATGTAATCTATATCCACACAACTAAAGATAATGTATGTCAATTAATCGACCTAAATACGAAAATAGTTCTTATCTTGCAGGTACCTGTTCGTAGTTAGCTTTATTTTACTCGTTGTAGCCGATAACTCGTAATAACCATACTATTTTAACATACAATCATATGTGCCGTGACGGGACCTAACGTTTTACTTGTCGTAAGCAGTATCTCGTTCTAAGCGATAAGGATTTAGAGTTAATACTGTATTATACATTGATTTCTTCTAATTGGTAAATGGTCTTTCGTTATATAATATCTTCACTCAAAATTATAACTTTTCTTTTCGAAATTTGAACTTACAAAGTGAATAAAATATGTCTCAAAGCAAAGTTTGGAAATTTTTTTCACCAAATACGAAAAATAAGTCAGCAGTTTGCAATTTATGTAACCAAGTAATTAAGCATTCAAAATCAACAACCTGTTTATGGAATCATTATAATTCTCAACATAAACCTGAGAATGGAGTTGATGTCGTTCGCAAAAGGTAAGAGCATATTTTGAATTTAACTAGAGTAACGTAATACAAATTATATTATTAATATTATTACCTATTAATAAAAAATAAACTAAAAATTATTCGTTTTAGAACTTTAAAACAATAAAAACTTATTATATGTAAAATGTCTATTAATAGGCCAAAATTGAAAAAAAATACATTTATGAACATTTCCTTTATTAAAATTTTCTATTTTCAAAAGTTTAAATGTTTTCAATAAATTTGTAGAGTCCGAATTGATAGTGATACTAGTGATGTAGACCAAGACGACGAAATTTCTGAACAGATTTCTTCCAATACCCCCACTCTCGATTCAGACTATTCAAATTGTATTCCTTCAACTTCCAGTTCTAGTTCTTCGAGTTCAACGCCTTACCATTGTACAACGAAAAAGGTTCGTAGGTCTAATGTTGCATCAGCTTGTAATACACGACCTATAGATAAAAATCGTAGTGAACTTATTACGCAGTCAATATGTAATATGATTTGCGAAGATATGCTTCCAATTAATACAGTAGAACATAGTGGATTTAAAAATTTAATGAATGTAATGGAACCTAGTTATAACGTCTCATGTCGAAAAACAATAACTACCCGTATACAAGGACGATATAATGAAAAAGTCGATTATATTAAAAAAAAATTGATGACTATAAATTCAGTTTTATTAAGCACAGATTGTTGGACATCCAGAAACGTACTCATATATCACAGTTACAGGCCACTTTATGAACAATTTTTGGCAATTAGAATCTTTTAACATTTGTACTAAAGAAATTACTCATAGTCATACGGCATCAACTGCATCTGCATCTGATACACCTATCACTCAGTTTACACCTTCGACTACAGATATTAATCGTACATCTTCCAGTTATAATATTTTTGACATTGCACATTACACAAATAAATTGTTAACGCAAAGTGAAATAGAAGAAATTTTGAGCAAAATTTGGATCCCTGATATTAATTACAATTTTCTTATCAAAATATCAGTAGTCGGTAAACAACAAAAAGTTTTGAGGTTGAAATTTCAATATAAATGGCTAATTAACTTTCCCTGGTTGGCCTATTCAGAAGTAAACAATGGTGCGTATTGCAAATATTGTGTTGCTTTTACTAAAAATGAAGCCGGTGTTAATAACCAAAAATTGGGAGCATTTGTATTAAAAAAATATGATGATTGGAAACATGCATTGGAAGACTTTAAAAATCATTCGAATTTAGAATATAACAATCAATAGAATTTTTATTATAAATAATTAATAATATAATATTTATAATATTCTGTACTTACTATGTGCATATTAAATAATATTTAACTGCCATGAGTTACGTAAACCTTTGTATTTGTTTTACTATTTTGCCTATTAATATTTATACGTGTAATGTGTTTGATTGTTAGGAAAATGGGTAGTTGCAAAGAGAAAGTTTTAGTGCTGGTTATTTTTTTTAAACCTCCCCCAGAGCAAATTTGAATGTACGCCACTGGTCATACGTCAGAGAATTTATTTGAAACAATTCGATCCGATAAACGCATCAGCACTTACCTTCTTACATCAAAACAAAAAATTAAAAATGTAAAATGTATTTAATCAATGAAGTTAAACGTAGGAGTATTAATTTATTAATTTATAATGAACAATTTTTCTTCTTAAACTTACTTATATTTATTTATTTATTGGTGTTACTAAATTATAAATTATATGTTAAACCAATAAATTATTATTATTATTAATAATTTAATTATGATGTATTTTGCACAATTTAAATTTATTTATTTTTTGCATTTAAATTTGTGTACCATTTATTTTTTTTATTATTTTTTTGTTGTAACTTATACATTTTTCTTTCTTTCTTTCTTTTTAGGCATTTTAAAGACCATTAAGGTCCATTGCCGCAGCAACAACATCCCTCCACTTCTCCCTGTCCCTTGACACTTCTTCTCCATTCTCTATCCCTATTATTCTGAGGTCTTCCTTAATTCTATCTGCCCACCGTTGTCTGGGTCGTCCTCTGGGCCGTTTCGTGCTCGGTCTCCATCTCGTTATGTTCCCAAGTATTCCTTCCGATCTCCAAACATGACCTGCCCATCTTAATCTATAACTCTTCATAATTCCTATAATATTGGCTTCTCCAAATAAACTTCTTAACTCTTCATTTGTCCTGACTTCAAACTCACCTACATCATTCTTTTTTGTTCCATAAATTTGTCGGAGTATTTTCCTTTCAAAAACACCCAATTTGTTTTCATCCGTTTTGGTGGTTGCCCATGTCTCGCATGCGTATAGTACTATGGGTCTAATTAAAACTTTGTACAATGTTATCTTTGATCTTCTTGAGAGTAATTTTGATTTGAAAAGTGTTGATAGTCCAAAGTAGCATCTGTTTGCTGCTATCAACCTCTCTTTTATTTCTTCGTGACTATTCGCGTTTTCATTCACCCACGCTCCAAGGTATTTGAAGTGTTCTACTCTTTCAAATGAATAACCTTCTATTTCTAAATTTCTTGCCGGGTGATGTTTCCTGGACAATATTAGATATTTTGTTTTCTCTTCGTTTACGCTAAGACCGATTTCTGCCCCTATCCTTAAATTTCTTTTGCAGATTGTTTTAGACTTTCCTCATTTTCTGTAGTTAACATTAGATCATCAGCATAGACTACAATTGCAAGCTGTTGGTTATCACTGATTTTTATTCCTTTCACCTTGCTAAGGACTTGTCTCACCACTGACTCTAAGGCAATGTTAAACAAAGCCGGTGACAAAGCGTCTCCTTGTCTGAGACCTGTCGACACTAGGAATTCATTTGAGTAGTCTCTTCCAAAATTCACCTTGAATTTAGAGCCTTGTACGCACGTTTTGATCATTCTTATAACTTTTTCTGGTATTCCTATCCGGGCCATTACATTCCACAATTTATTTCTATCTATTGAGTCGTATGCTGCTTTAAAATCCACAAATAGCATATGTACGTCTTTATTGAATTCATGGCTTTTTTCTGCAACTTGTTTTATTATATGAATCTGATCTATAGTCGATTTACCTACCATGAATCCTGCCTGGTATTCTCCAATAACTTCTTTAATAAATGGTTTCAATCTGTTTAATAGGAGGTTAGATAATACTTTGTACGAAGTGTTTAACAGAGAAATTCCTCTATAGTTCTTCGGATCCATTTTATCTCCCTTTTTATGTACCGGGCATAGGACAGATATTTTCCATGATTCTGGAATCTCCTCCTGTTCCCATATATTAGTAATTAGGTTGTGAAGTTGTTGAGTCAGCTTCTTTCCTCCTTTTTTTAGGCATTCAGGGACTACTTCATCAATTCCAGAGGCCTTTCCATTTTTCAGCATTTCTAATCCCATTTCTATTTCTTGTATCGTTGGTTTGTCCAATAGTTCTCCCGACGTTACATTAACTTCTATTGTGGTCCTATTTTCTTGTTGATTCAACATCTTTTTAAATTCATTTGCTATTTTACCTTTATCAGTTATAATGGTTCCATCACCTTTTCTTAACATCAATGTTTTCGACCTATAACCTGTTTTTACGTTCTTTATTTTTTCAAAGAAAGCTTTTATATTATTTTTGATGTTGTTATTTTCTATTCCTGTAACTCTTTGTTTTTCAAATAGTCTCTTGGCCATTCTTATTGTTTTTTTTGCTTCTCTTTGTTTACTTGCTAGAGTTCTTTTGATTTCATATTATATATACTCGGATTCTGTATCACCTTCAGGCGAGCTTTGTCTCTTATTTCTAAGGCTTATTTGCAGTTTTCATCAAACCATATTTTGTTTTTTTTTTCATTTTGTGTGTTTCCCAATATTCTTTCCGATGCATCTTTGATTATTTTCATTACTTTCTCCCATGTATTATTTATGTCTGATTCC